GTGTACTCACCTAGTTGTGCTTGCGGGGGTTGAGCTTTGGCTCTTTGGTCCCGCCTCTCAACCGTCAATCAACAGGTGTACAGATTCCTGAGCCTACTGGGCTCTATCATACTTATATTTGAAACCGTGTATGGAGTCAGCCTCCACAGCCTGTGTGTGTAATTACCTAAGTGTAGTTACAGGATGAGAGCTACGCTCGTGGTATCCCGTCTTCCCAGCACTCTTTGTCATATAACGCTTTGAAACCACTGACGGTCTTGGCCTCCACCACCTTCTCCCCTAACTTGTTCCAACCGTCTACCACTCTGTTTGCGAAAGTGAATTTTCTTATATTTCTCCGGCAGCTTTGTTTAGCTAGTTTAAATCTATGACCTCTTGTTCTTGAAGTTCCGGGTCTCAGGAAATCTTTCCTATCGATTTTATTAATTTCTGTTACTATTTTGTATGTAGTGATCATATCACCACTTTTTCTTCTGTCTTCTAGTTTTGGCATATTTAATGCCTCTAACCTCTCCTCGTAGCTCTTGCCCTTCAGTTCTGGGAGCCACTTAGTAGCATGTCTTTGCACCTTTTCCAGTTTGTTGATGTGCTTCTTAAGATATGGGCACCACACAACCGCTGCATATTCTAGCTTTGGCCTAACAAAAGTCGTGAACAATTTCTTTAGTATATCGCCATCCATGTATTTAAAAGCAGTTCTGAAGTTAGAAAGCGTGGCATAGGCTCCTCGCACAATATTCTTTATGTGGTCCTCAGGTGATAGTTTTCTATCTAGAACCACCCCTAGATCTCTTTCTTTATTAGAATTCTTTAAAGATTTCTCACATAATTTATAGGTTGTGTGGAGTCTATGGTCTCCTATTCCTCATTCCATAACATGGCATTTATTAACATTAAATTCCATTTGCCAAGTGGTGCTCCATATACTTATTTTGTCCAGGTCATCTTGAAGGGCATGGCAATTATCTAAGTTTGTTATCCTTCCTATTATCTTAGCATCATCAGCAAACATGTTCATATAATTCTGTATACCAACTGGTTGATCATTTATGTAGACAATAAACATCACTGGTGCAAGAACTGAACCCTGTGGTACTCCACTTGTGACATTTCTCCATTCCGATACATTGCCTCTGATTACTGCCCTCATTTTTCTATCAGTCAGAAAATTTTTCATCCATGTTATAAATTTACCTGTCACCCCTCCAATATTTTCCAGTTTCCAGAAATGTGTATTCACCTAGTTGTACTTGCGGGGGTTGAGCTCTGCTCTTTCAGCCCGCCTCTCAACTATCAATCAACTGTTACTAACTGTAGTCTCCGTGGTGTAGTGGTAAGACACTCGCCTGGTGTTCTGCGAGCGCTTTGTCATGGGTTCGTATCCTGGCCGGGGAGGATTTACTGGGCGCAAATCCTTAAATGTAGCCTCTGTTTAACTCAACAGTAAAATGAGTACTTGGTTGTAACAAGGATTCTTCGCGGCAGGGGATCGTATTCCAGGGACCTGCTCGAAACGCTACGCGTACTAGTGGCTGTACAAGAATGTAACAACTCTTGTATATATCTCAAAAAAAATTTTTTTTTTTCCACCACACCCCCCTAGGAAGCAGCCCGTGACAGCTGACTAACTCCCAGGTACCTATTTACTGCTAGGTAACAGGGGCATAGAGTAAAAGAAACTCTGCCCATTGTTTCTCGCCGGCGCCTGGGATCGAACCCGGGACCACAGGATCACGCGTCCAGCGTGCTGTCCGCTCAGCCACCTGCCCCCTAAGTGTGTGTGTGTGGGGGGGGGTGGAAGGGAAGGGGGGTAGGTTAATGTGGTGAGCGACTAGTGACCTATAATTGTGACCCATGAATACTGCACTCGCCCGGTCCTGGCCTCACCTCTTGCCAAATACCCTGAGCTTACTGCCATAAGTCACAGGAGCAAGCGTCTTTCTTTCCCTCAATACTTGTCCACCTGCACCCTTCCTCCTCCTTGACACCCATGCCAGACCTCTCCCTCCTCCTTGACACCCATGCCAGACCTCTCCCTCCTCCTTGACACCCATGCCAGACCTCTCCCTCCTCCTTGACACCCTTGCCAGACCTCTCCCTCCTCCTTGACACCCATGCCAGACCTCTCCCTCCTCCTTGACACCCTTGCCAGACCTCCTCCTTGACACCCATGCCAGACCTCTCCCTCTAAAAAAAAGAAGCATACTACTGTACTGACATTTACCATACTACTGATGGTGCCCTGTACACCACTCATGAGACAGCACCACCCTGTACACCACTCATGAGACAGCGCCACCCTGTACACCACTTAAAAGACAGCACCACCCTGTACACCACTCATGAGACAGCACCACCCTGTACACCACTCATGAGACAGCACCACCCTGTACACCACTCATGAGACAGCACCACCCTGTACACCACTCAAAAGACAGCACCACCCTGTACACCACTCATGAGACAGCACCACCCTGTACACCACTCAAAAGACAGCACCACCCTGTACACCACTCATGAGACAGCACCACCCTGTACACCACTCATGAGACAGCACCACCCTGTACACCACTCATGAGACAGCACCACCCTGTACACCACTCATGAGACAGCACCACCCTGTACACCACTCATGAGACAGCACCACCCTGTACACCACTCAAAAGACAGCACCACCCTGTACACCACTCATGAGACAGCACCACCCTGTACACCACTCAAAAGACAGCACCACCCTGTACACCACTCAAAAGACAGCACCACCCTGTACACCACTTAAAAGACAGCACCACCCTGTACACCACTCATGAGACAGCACCACCCTGTACACCACTCATGAGACAGCACCACCCTGTACACCACTCAAAAGACAGCACCACCCTGTACACCACTCAAAAGACAGCACCACCCTGTACACCACTCATGAGACAGCACCACCCTGTACACCACTCAAAAGACAGCACCACCCTGTACACCACTCAAAAGACAGCACCACCCTGTACACCACTTAAAAGACAGCACCACCCTGTACACCACTCATGAGACAGCACCACCCTGTACACCACTCATGAGACAGCACCACCCTGTACACCACTCAAAAGACAGCACCACCCTGTACACCACTCAAAAGACAGCACCACCCTGTACACCACTCAAAAGACAGCACCACCCTGTACACCACTCAAAAGACAGCACCACCCTGTACACCACTCAAAAGACAGCACCACCCTGTACACCACTCAAAAGACAGCACCACCCTGTACACCACTCAAAAGACAGCACCACCCTGTACACCACTCATGAGACAGCACCACCCTGTACACCACTCATGAGACAGCACCACCCTGTACACCACTCAAAAGACAGCACCACCCTGTACACCACTCAAAAGACAGCACCACCCTGTACACCACTCAAAAGACAGCACCACCCTGTACACCACTCAAAAGACAGCACCACCCTGTACACCACTCAAAAGACACCACCACCCTGTACACCACTCAAACAATTGTACACTATCAACATAAAATCATAGCACCGATTGTAACAAATAGCAAATTGACATTGTCACAATAACATACTGTAATTTATCATTATTATCACTAAATGAAAATTACTGGACAAGATTACACATTATTTTACAATGTTTAGTATAGTTTATCAAGATTTAGCATCTTGTAACAAGATTTGTCATTACTGAATATCACTCAATGTGACATCTCATTTATTTAAATGTACAGTAATGTCATTTAGTATACCATACCACTCAAAATACTGCTTGACCTTCCAGTACAAATTAATACCCACAATTTGTTATCATGTCATATAATTTAACGCAATATATCATACTATTTAACGTTTTCACTTAATCATGGCACACAATAAAATAATGTAACTTCACTCAGTAAAACATTATGAATTTGTTAACAAAATTAAGTGCTTTAAGATTAAAATTGTAACATTCTGAAAATAAATCTGTATTTAATTGTAAATATAGGCTATTCAGCATGTTAACAGAAATGTCGTACACAAAACAAGCATAAATGATTAATGTGAAGTTAGTTAATTATAGCCCCTATGAATATGTTGGTCTAGAGCCTTAACAACCCTGGGAAGTCGAGGTATGAGAGTTTGATTTCATGCAATGCCCTCAATAGTTTCCAATTGGTAGTGAACCTGAACAGTCCCCAGGGGAAACTGTATCATAAAATTGGAAACCCTCCAAACTTTCACAACACAATTCTGGTTATATGAACTGAATTAGATTTTTTGCAACATGTAAGAATGTTGTGTGGGAGAGAGTGAGGAACATTATGTGTAGGAGGGTGAGGAACATTGTGTGGGAGAGACTGAAGAACATTGTGTGGGAGAGGCTGAGGAACATTATGTGTGGGAGGGTGAGGAACATTATGTGTGGGAGAGACTGAAGAACATTGTGTGGGAGAGGCTGAGAAACATTGTGTGGGAGAGGCTGAGGAACATTATGTGTAGGAGGGTGAGGAATATTGTGTGGGAGAGACTGAAGAACATTGTGTGGGAGAGGCTGAGGAACATTATGTGTGGGAGGGTGAGGAGCATTGTGTGGGAGAGACTGAAGAACATTGTGTGGGAGAGGGTGAGGAACATTGTGTGGGAGAGACTGAGAAACACTGTGGGAGAATGAGAGGAAACTTACCATGGTAACACCTGATAATTCGGCTAACCAAGTACTGTGTATGATTAGTGTCATGAGAATTAATTAGGAATACCGTTCATATATAACAGGCAACTTATTTTATTTTAATAAATTCAAAGCTCATTAAATACATAAATATATAATTTTGTAAAATGTTATCAGTCATATTAATGAGGTAAATTTCTGTGTTTGCAGTATTTCTATTTGTGTGCACAAGAGTTGCAGATCAGATGCCAAGACAGATTATCACATTTCAGGATGTTCTTTAAAAGATTAACCCATATGGTTCTTCACTTATGATACCGATATTATCTTTGTATTTCAGACTTCATCCAAATTACATATACCACCCGTCCTACCTGCCCACTGCTGCCGGCCTCCTGCCCATGACACACTCTCCCATCAACCACGCTGCTGCTGCGCTCACATCTGCAGGCCAACAGGCATATTTTGATTATGCTACTGCTGCAGCTGCATACCCAGGAACCTACCAGGCAGCAGCTGCGACCAGCATGGAGCCATACGCCGCAGCTGTATCTGCAGGTACAACACACGGTTCAGTTTATATGAAAGCTTACTACATACAGTACTATATTTATGTGGTCAGTTTTGAGAGTTCTGCTTTTTTGGCTTGGTCTACTCAATCAACCTGGCTATCGCTGCTTGTGGCAGAGAAGGCATAACAATCTAGCTCATACGGTACCATTTGCAGGACCTTGACAAATTTCTCTTTTAAAACCAACAATTGTTCCATTCCAGCATCCTTATATTTGTTGATACAGTATATATATATATATATATATATATATATATATATATATATATATATATATATATATATATATATATATATATATATATATATATATATATATATATATATATATATATATATATATATATATATATATATATTTACATCTTTATTGACATTTTTTTTTTTTTTCAATTTTCCCTAATCCGAGTAATTCAATTAGGTCTCATTAGAGTGAGGATAATGCTCGTATTCACTGTTACACAGGACAGAGGATCATACTCAAGACAATAGGTCAAAACCGTAGGCTGAAGCACATCATGTGTGTGTGTATATTCAGCCTTGTTCGCATATATATATATATATATATATATATATATATATATATATATATATATATATATATATATATATATATATATATATATCAAGCCACTGTCAATATATACAATCTTTGGACAACACCCACCAGTGGGACTCGAACCCAGAAAGCACAACTACCTTCCAGTAGCTGGCATAACTAGTATGCTTTAACCCACTACGCCATCAGACCTTACAAAAGAAGTAGATAGTTCGAGATATATATATCTCAAACATCTCTACCTCCCGAAGGCACCAGATGAGTGAGGGGTCAATCTGCAATTTTCATCAAGCCACTGTCAATGTGAGAGAACTCGTGTCCAGCTTATAAGCCTATACTTGCATAAACCACAAGTGAAGATAAACAATCTTTGGACAACACCCACCAGTGGGACTCGAACCCAGAAAGCACAACTACCTTCCAGTAGCTGGCATAACTAGTATGCTTTAACCCACTACGCCATCAGACCTTACAAAAGAAGTAGATAGTTCGAGATATATATATCTCAAACATCTCTACCTCCCGAAGGCACCAGATGAGTGAGGGGTCAATCTGCAATTTTCATCAAGCCACTGTCAATGTGAGAGAACTCGTGTCCAGCTTATAAGCCTATACTTGCATAAACCACAAGTGAAGATAAACAATCTTTGGACAACACCCACCAGTGGGACTCGAACCCAGAAAGCACAACTACCTTCCAGTAGCTGGCATAACTAGTATGCTTTAACCCACTACGCCATCAGACCTTACAAAAGAAGTAGATAGTTCGAGATATATATATCTCAAACATCTCTACCTCCCGAAGGCACCAGATGAGTGAGGGGTCAATCTGCAATTTTCATCAAGCCACTGTCAATGTGAGAGAACTCGTGTCCAGCTTATAAGCCTATACTTGCATAAACCACAAGTGAAGATAAACAATCTTTGGACAACACCCACCAGTGGGACTCGAACCCAGAAAGCACAACTACCTTCCAGTAGCTGGCATAACTAGTATGCTTTAACCCACTACGCCATCAGACCTTACAAAAGAAGTAGATAGTTCGAGATATATATATCTCAAACATCTCTACCTCCCGAAGGCACCAGATGAGTGAGGGGTCAATCTGCAATTTTCATCAAGCCACTGTCAATGTGAGAGAACTCGTGTCCAGCTTATAAGCCTATACTTGCATAAACCACAAGTGAAGATAAACAATCTTTGGACAACACCCACCAGTGGGACTCGAACCCAGAAAGCACAACTACCTTCCAGTAGCTGGCATAACTAGTATGCTTTAACCCACTACGCCATCAGACCTTACAAAAGAAGTAGATAGTTCGAGATATATATATCTCAAACATCTCTACCTCCCGAAGGCACCAGATGAGTGAGGGGTCAATCTGCAATTTTCATCAAGCCACTGTCAATGTGAGAGAACTCGTGTCCAGCTTATAAGCCTATACTTGCATAAACCACAAGTGAAGATAAACAATCTTTGGACAACACCCACCAGTGGGACTCGAACCCAGAAAGCACAACTACCTTCCAGTAGCTGGCATAACTAGTATGCTTTAACCCACTACGCCATCAGACCTTACAAAAGAAGTAGATAGTTCGAGATATATATATCTCAAACATCTCTACCTCCCGAAGGCACCAGATGAGTGAGGGGTCAATCTGCAATTTTCATCAAGCCACTGTCAATGTGAGAGAACTCGTGTCCAGCT